TCTACGAACGCACGCTGAATTCCGTCCGGCAGTCGGGTTTCAGCTTTGTCACTGGGCTTAATTTTGTGTATGTGGCTCGCCATCCGGCGATCTCGGAGCTGGCGGGCTAGTAGTCTGCCGCTTTTGTCCGAGTGTTCAAAAAAGAACCGGGCCGACTTTCTAAGGGTGCGTAGGAGACCCTGAGCTAGTATGTCTCTTCTCTGTCTTCGGAGTGCAGTTAGTTGGAGGAACGTGTCCTCATCCTGACTCTGTTTATGATCTTGCTCTAGGTTGGCTATTTGTGCGTTTAGTGTTGTCAGCTGTCGTGTATGTTCTTTCTTCCGTTGCGAACAGACCTTAATATAGTGTCCCCGTACGACACACTTATGTGCTTCCCACACCGTCAAGGGCGATACGTCGGGGGTTGTGTTGGTGTCGAAGTATTGTGTTAGTGTTTGCCTGACTGGGTCAGTGTCTCCCAGGTTAAGCAGCATATTCTCATTTAGCTTCCAGTGCCTTTCCGCAGGTTTGTGTAATGGGGATTGGATCTGGACTGAGACCGGGGCGTGATCTGACTCCGCAATCAGGCCTATGCTTGCCTTGCGGAGTAGTGGCAGGGCTTCCTGTGCCATGAAGATATAGTCAATCCGACTGTATCGTTGATGCACAGCTGAGTAGTAGGAATAGTCCCTGCCGTCAGGGTGCGCCGCCCTCCAGCAATCCACTAGTCCACTCCTTGTCAGTGCTCTCCCGACTGCGCGTGTGCAGTGACCTGGTATTGAGCTTTCTCCCCTGGAGGTGTCTAGTCTAGCGTCTAACGGAGTGTTAAGATCTCCTGCCATAAGTAGAAGGCCCTCTCTGAACTTATTGAGCAATGTAAGTGTTTTATTCAGGAAGACATGTTGGTTACGGTTCGGGGAATACAGGCAGGCGAATGTGTAGGGGTGCTGCGCTATGGTTCCTTTGATAAATAAGTATCTACCCCCTGGGTCTGTTCGTTGCTCTGTGCACACGAATGGGACAGTATGTGAAAAGAGGATCGCTACCCCCGCTTTTTTTTGGTCGGCATGGTTAGAGTAATAGCCTGTGGGGTACCTTCCGTTTTTCAGGATGGGGGCCTCCGCACCTTTAAGATGCGTTTCCTGCAAAAACGCCACCGAGATGCGTTCCGCCCAGAGTGTTCTGAGTAACTGAGACCGCTTCTCGGGTACGTTTAGGCCTCTAACGTTGTTCGACCACAGGGTAAGCGGCTCCGGTACATAGCTAGAGCCCATCCCTATCTGCTAGTGGGGTAGGGTATGGGTGTGTCAAAGTATCGCGGGGTAAGGTTCGGGGGGTGGGGGAGGAAAGAAGTCAGGTCAGAGTCAGGGAGGGGTTGTGGGTCAGGGTATAAGGTAACTATGACTCGCCTCGGGGTCAGTCGCCCACCGGTGTCTAGTCCCTTCGGGGTATGTCACCAGAGTAGCCTCCGAGGATTTGTACAGTGTGAGTCCGTCACGTGGGGTACGTGGGTCGTCCGTTCTGGGGTGAACCGTCGTCTGAATCGCACCGCTCTCACGGCACCCAGCCCACTAGGTTTGTTTAATTGGAATCTTCCCTACGGGTATGTTGAAGTAGTATGAGGGTACCACCTTCCCATCATCCATTTTCCTCTCTGTTCTTAAGGGTCTAGGTAATACATGTTTAGTTGGTATTTGGGCCCCGCTGCTACCCGACGGGTCCGGCCTCCCTGGGTGCCCCCGCCCCAGCCTAGCCCTCCCGGCTCCATGGGCTCAGGTGTGTTTCCAACCCCCTTGTGTAGGTGTGTGACCACCTAGGTGTGGTGCGAAACATATGAACTTCATCAACGTTAATAACATTAACAACTGTAAATACCAGACCACCGCCGCTAACCTTCCCCTCTCCCCTCTCCCTCAAGGACCGCACCCCTCTCCCCTGCTCCCTGTTCCAGCCCGGAAAGTGGTGTCCTGTCCCGCTAGCTGGCTTGCTAATCCCTTCCGGGGTTGGGCGATGCTTGAATCGTGGGACCTTCTGGGACTGTATGGGACTGTCCAGTCTTTATCTTGGGATGCAACTCAGGTAGTTGGTGTCCGCTATTGCCTCCCCCCTACCCCAACCACCCAAAGGGGGGATTCTGTGGGCTGTGAGTCCGAGTCTTTCAAAACCTGGGATGACCCCCTCCTTTGTCTTCATCTTCCCCGGGTGATACCCGTTCCCCTCCGATCCCACCACCCCAAAAATGTGGCACTCCATTGTCTCAAGTCCCGGTAACTCTGGCTAGTGCGTAAATGCTACGGGCCCAGGATAGGGGTGCAAGTACATACCCAACGGTGTGTCAGGTTCTGCTTACGAAGGATGTTTCTCCGGGTCGACCCTGGGGGAGCGGTCTGGTGGTCTGTTTCACTGTGGCGTGGTTTCTGGGTCTAAATGGGGGTGTGAAGGCTGGGGAGTGCCGCCGTCTGTGGGTGCGCCAGTCGCCGCCTTCCTGGGCTCTTGAGTCCGTTATTCCTCATGGCTGTCCGGGCCGCCTCTGCGGAACCCAGCCCCTGTAAGGCCCGTATCCGACCTAGTGTTTGGAGCATTTGGGCATTGTGGCTGTCTCTCCAGGACCCAGTTTGAGACTGTCACGGCTGGGAGGTTCGCGGCTCGTAGAAAGCGCGGCACGTCTGCTGGCCAGCGTATGATATGCCATATGTTGTTCACCTTCGCCTGTAGGCTAAAGGGGAATCCCCATTTATATTGTATCCGCCGATCTCTGAGCAGGGTGGTTAGTGGTCTCAAAGCTCTTCTCGCTTCCAAGGTGAGTACTGAGAGATCCTGGTATAGGGAAATCTGGGCATCCATGTAGGTGAGGTTCTGCTGACTTCTTGCTTCCCTCATGATTTCGTCTTTTAACGAGTAGGAGAGCAGGTAGCAGATTACGTCTCTAGGCGGTCCCTCAGCGGTCACGGGGCGCAGGGCTCTGTGTGCACGTTCAATTCCGAAGTCTGCCGGGGCTCTGTCCCCTAGTATGTGTGTGAACAGGCCCAGCAGGAGCTCTGGTAGTGCTTCCCCCGCTGATTCAGGGAGTCCCCTGACACGGATGTTGTTCCTCCGTCCGCGGTTGTCCAAATCTTCCAGATTCCTCCTTAGCTCCAGCAAGACATTGCCTTGTCTAGTAGTGGCTGTGTCTGTGGCTTGGCGGTGTTGTATGATTTGGGCTCGTTCTGCCTCAAGTTCCTCCACTCTGCGTTCCAGTGCTGTCAGGTCTCTCCTCACCTCCATTACCTCTTCTCTGATAACTGCCCTTATTTCTGCCAGCAGTTCCGTTTTATCCGCCCTGGACATCATGTTTGCCGATATGATAGAGTTCTAACCTCAACATATGAGGAAAGGGATTTAGGGGTGATTATTTCTGATGACTTAAAGGTAGGCAGACAATGTAATAGAGCAGCAGGAAATGCTAGCAGAATGCTTGGTTGTATAGGGAGAGGTATTAGCAGTAGAAAGAGGGAAGTGCTCATGCCATTGTACAGAACACTGGTGAGACCTCACTTGGAGTATTGTACACAGTACTGAGACCGTATCTTCAGAAGGATATTGATACCTTAGAGAGGGTTCAGAGAAGGGCTACTAAACTGGTTCATGGATTGCGGGATAAAACTTACCAGGAAAGGTTAAAGGATCTTAACATGTATAGCTTGGAGGAAAGACGAGACAGGGGGGATATGATAGAAACATTTAAATATATAAAGGGAATCAACACAGTAAAGGAGGAGACTATTTAAAAGAAGAAAAACTACCACAACAAGAGGACATAGTCTTAAATTAGAGGGACAAAGGTTTAAAAATAATATCAGAAGTATTACTTTACTGAGAGGGTAGTGGATGCATGGAATAGCCTTCCAGCTGAAGTGGTAGAGGTTAACACAGTAAAGGAGTTTAAGCATGCGTGGGATAGGCATAAGGCTATCCTAACTATAAGATAAGGCTAGGGACTAATGAAAGTTTCTAGAAAATTGGGCAGACTAGATGGGCCGAATGGTTCTTATCTGCCGTCACATTCTATGTTTCTATGTTTCTATGATATTGTGGCCAAGTCTGCTGCTATTTGGGTCAGTGACTCCTCTCTGACTGGGCCTGTTGCTGGGCTGTCTGTGCTGCTGGCGTCCGGCGAGGGCGGCACCATTTTGGCCGCGGCCTGGTGCGCCCGCATGTCTCGCGGCGTTCCGAGGTACCCGTCCATGGGTCCCGCGGTGCGGCTCGGTGAGCCCGTTTGTGAGGGGCCAGGGGTGAGTAGCCTCTTAGTTTTACCCATCTCGGGTCAATTCGTGCCCGTGTATCGGTGCGATAGTGAGCTGGGGCCTAGGAGCTGCAGGGAGATGCGTCTCACTCCATACCCGGTCAGGCCACGCCCCCCCCCCCAAAAAAAATATTATTATTATTATTTTTTTTTTAAATGGGCCTATTCCATGGGCCTGGGCCTGGGCCTGGGCCTGGCGCTGCAGCTCCATCATCCCCTATGTTAATCCGGCCCTGCTCATTTTAAATACCCTGGGTTGTCTACATTTGAAAATGGTATGATGGGGTTATTTCACATTCCTGGGCCACCATATGGTCTCAAAAGGCAACACAGACCCAGCAAACCAATCTGGCAAACTGAATTGGGCAAGCTCTATATTGATCCTGAACCAGGGCCGGATTAACATAGGGGCTGATGGAGCTGCAGCTCCAGGCCTAGGCCCATGGAATAGGCCCATTACACACACTACTCTTGGGTTTGCCAACTGACTGGTATTTTACCAGCACAGCCGGTATTTGAGGCTGCCTGGCAGAACGATGTTCTTGCCTCCCATGACGGCTAAGAGGGATCCCTCCATACCCCAGCAGTACCTGATAGACGCGTCCTATAGTCTCAATGCTATTGGTGCCAACCTTCTCCTCTCTGCTAAGACAGAGAAAGGGACATCTGCGTAGATTGCCACTCTGCTACCTTCCCGTGGTATTGATCCCAGCTCTCTGGATCGTTGCATGATCTCTGATCACGCGGACACGTCACTGGTCACTGCTATGACATCTCTAGGTACCTTACTGGGTTCCGCAGCCAATTTCCGCACCCTGAACATCGAGGTGATCATTGGAGCATCTAAGTTGTGTTTTATGCCCATAGAGGTTACCATACTATGGACCCACATGTAGAGCCTCATATTTTCAACCACCTCGTGAATGCCTCTGAGACCTAGGTTCCGGCATCTGTGTCGGACCTCCAGCATGGTCACCGCTCTACTCAGCTGCTGCACCTGGGAGATAAGTGTCGTGAGGTTCTTGTTATTGGCTTGCGATTTCTCCTCTCTGGAGGCCACTCTTACTTCCAGCTCCTGGACTTTCTGGTGGACCGCACCTACTTCAGTCTGGACCACCCACAGGTCTTCCTTCCATACCCTCCAGAGGTCCACCAGAAGACGCTTTATGTCCCCTTTTTTTGAGGGTGACTCGTCCTCCTCTGAACCAGACGGTAGGGAAGCTGCTTCCGACCTAGGTGAGGGCAAAGCTTCCCCATCCTCCTGCGAGGCCTCTGATGCCTCTGTGTCGTACTGGGCCTCAGGCGCCATCTTGGACGGCTGGTGTTGCACCGGTCATTCAAACGAAAGCCGTATATAATGGGCTGTCTTGACGTTTCTAAGCAGTAGGGCTTCTTGTGTTTGCGCCCCATTGTCCCTGCTTGAGGGGGGTCTCTGTTCCGTGGCTGAAATCACTATTTTCCATGGGCCTGTACGGAGCCCTGTGGAAAGACGTCTGTTTAGCACAGTTGGCAACTTGTTTTTTTTTAATTTTTTATGTGACTTATTAATAACAGTTTATACAACTACAATGTAATTTAGAGCAAGAGCAATGTATCTTATTTCTAAACACCTTTATTGTAGTTTAAAAACTCTGTTATACACAAACGTACACAACAATATGGAACTCCTAGAAAAGAGGGACGTTAGGATAGAAAAGAGGAACAGAGGGATTTAAGCCCAAAATAGAGACTTTCTGTTCTAACTAGGGGCTCTTGGGAGCTATGTTGATGTGTTCTTTTAATACTTAGTTATCCACTTAGAAGTATGATATAGTCACTGCTTTTTAATAAGCGCTTTGGGCCTCTCCTGATTACAGGTGTGCATTAAAACTCTTGTTTATATTTCAAAACTCGCTGTAGAGGGAAGGTTATTTTTATCTATTTATTTTTAATGGCGCAATGACCGCAAGTGATGGAGGGGAGTTTTTCTTTGAAGTCTGCATGTGTGTGTCGCACACAAGTTAGTAAATGTCATTAACTATTTTATTTAAGATTCATCATTTAGGCAACAGCTCCCTAATGTAGAAGGTTTCATTGAATCAGGTGCAAATAAAGAAATCATGCTGGTTTTTAACTCTGTAGTCTCCAGGTATGCTGTAAATTAGATTGTAAGCTCATGTTAGTTGGAACATCTTCGCCTTTTGTCTCTGGTAGTTTTTGTGTGTCAATTACTTGTTGTAAAATGCTGCGGAAGATGTTGGTGCTATATAGATGGTAATAATAGTAATGATAGGGTAACAATTATGCATCATAGCATATGCCCTGTACATCTTGATTTATGTAAGCCTGCAATGGAAGAGTTAACATCTCACAGTGAGACACGTTACCATTCCTGCTCACGAAAAATACGGAGTCTTAATAAAAGCTATGCAAACTTATGCAAATCTAGGAGCCCTTAAATATTTGCATCAAAAAAATCTCTCTGTAAGAACCATTTTAAACCAGTAAAAATATGATCTCATCCGCCCACTCATATATGTCAGTCTAGGCAGCGAAGTCTACCATGATGTTCAGACAGAATTTACATATGTAGTTCATAAACATCTGGATGTTCTAAAATTACAACTTCTGTGTGAAACATTAGGGGGGTTGTAGTTATAGAACGTCGGGGGATCTACCTTTTGGGCACCCCTGCTCTAGAGAGACAGCTGGGCTCTAACTGCCTCTTCAGTTGCGTTTGACTAAAACTTTCATTATGCATATACATACAAGACCTGTAACTGAAGTCAATTCATCAAGCAAATATTGCGATTCTCAGTCTGACGTCCCTTAAAGGGACACTCCACTGCTCAAATAAAAATAAATTATATAGAAAAAAATATATATAATTGCTTAGTAGATAAACCCCAAATTAAAGCATGCATTCATTTAAATATGCATTTTTTCATTGGGTACATGTTTAAAAACAGCTTGTAAAAGCAACAGATCTCTTGTCTCGTGCCTTTACAAGCACTCACTTTCTGACACAGAACTTGTTCCCTACCTGAAAGCCAGGAGCGTGTAACCAAGTTAATTTATAAAAGTTCCAAATTCTATTGAAATCTGCACTAATTGTAGAATGGAATAAAGAGGACACACTCTTCACACATAAAGCATTTCAGCCAGCTTAAGTGCATTCGGGTCTGGAGTGTCCCTTTAAACCAGAATTGTCATTAAACATGACCGAGACAGAACTAACGATGTTCTGTTGTGATTTATGAAATAGCATTGTATTTATTCCCTTCCCATTATGCAATTACACTCTTAGCTAAATATCACTGGCATCTCATTGGTACCAGCTGCGGAACTACACTGGCAGGGCCCACACGCTAGGGGTTCTATTGAGTGGAATATACACTTAGTGGGTATTGATGAACAGGGGTCCAGTTGGGCACAGCAGCCCTTTTACAATGTAACCGGGCCCCTTTCACATTGGCAGCCTGGGAGGAAGTGAGAGTCACTTTCTCCAAGCTACAAATAGAGCCACACGGGAGGCAGGGAAGGTGACACAGGAGCAGTGGTGTATCCTGGTTTTGTGCTGCCCTAGGCAGGACAAAACTCAGGCGCCCCCTCCCCCCGCGCCACCCCCACCCAACCTTTCCCCCCGCCCCACCTTCTAAATACACACACACACACAGTCAGACACAAACACACACACACACACACATACACAGTCAGACAAACACACAAACACAGTCAGACACAAACACACACACACAGTCAGACACAAACACACACACAGTCAGACACAAACACACACACACAGTCACAAACACACAGACACAAACACACACACACACAGACACAAACACACACACACAGTCAGACACAAACACACACACACACACACACACATACACAGTCAGACACACACACTCACAAACACACAAACACAGTCAGACACAAACACACACACAGTCAGACACAAACACACACACACAGTCACACACAGTCACAAACACACACACACACACAGTCAGACACATACACACACACAGTCAGACACACACACACACACACACACACACACACACACAGTCAGACACATACACGGGGCACAACACACACACACACACACACAGACACACACACACATACACAAACACAGTCAGACACAAACACACACACACACTCACAAACACAGTCAGACACAAACACACACACACACACAACACAGTCAGACACAAACACACACATTAACTTTTTTTTAATTTAAATCCCCCCCCCAACCTCCTTACCTTTGGGAGTGCTGGGGGGGGGGGTCTCTCTCTCCCTGGTGGTCCAGTGGCGGGTGGGCGGCGCTGGCAGACAGGTGGCTGGAGAGGGAGCTCTTCCTCTGAGCTGACTGCTCAGCTCCCTCGCGTGCCGGCTGCAGAGTGAGGCTGGGAGCCGGAAGATGACGTCATCTTCCGGCTCCCAGCCTCACTCTGCGGCGCGCGAGGGAGCTGAGCAGAGAGCTCATAGGAAGAGCTCCCTCGCCAGCCGCCTGCCTGCCAGTGCCGCCCGCCCGCCCGGGATGTCAGTTAGCCGCGAGGCTAACTAGGCATCTGCCCTGGGTATTTGGGGGATGGCGTTTTTTGCCGCCCCCTGAAAAATGCCGCCCAAGGCAAATGCCTTGTTTGCCTCGCGGCTAATACGCCCCTGCACAGGAGTGGGAAAAGCAAGGAGAGAGCAAGCTGCAGACCCACACTCCCATCAGCCTCAGTCAGCAGCTCCAAGCAAGCCACCCTCCGGCACATAAAACGTATGCTATCAGGAAGGTGGATGCAAATATAACAATTATGACATGTATGTGTTTATGCACCTATGTTTGTGTCACTGTGTGTATCTATGTGTGTGTGTAAATAGTAGAAAGAAAAGAAGGCGTATACCGCGCCTAGTAGTTTTTATGTACAAAAAAATACATACATATATCCTTGAATATTCCGATCAATTATAGCCTCGAAAAAAATTAAAATAAAGAATAATAGTGCAATACAGTAAATTGAATTTTTAAAATAAAATTTGAAATATGAGCAATTATAGCTGTGTACAGTCCACTCACATTTGAATGAGCTATAACAGAGCTCTACTGTGAAGCGCCTGGACGGTACAATCCCTGTCTAAGGATTCGTAGTAGTTGCCACGGATGTTCTCAAGGTGCAATGTGCATAGTAAATATAAGAAGAGATAGCAGCAATATGGTGAAGTAAGTACTAATAGTATATTCAATAATAAAAGTATTGTACTTACACTTTCTAGAGCATATAACTTGCTCCAGTATAAACAGCTTAGGTGGTATAATCCCCACCAAGGATATGCAGGATCCAGGAAATAAAAAATAATATATATAAAAAGTAACTTTAACAAAGTATACTTTAATATAATAAAATAAAACAGTATTGGATAAAAGAATATGTATAAAAGTCCCACTTGTGTGTGTGTGTATCGCTGTGTCAGTCTGTGTATATGTCATTGTGCGTCAGTGTGTGTATATGTCAGTGTGTGTATATCTGTGTGTCAATGTGTGTATGTGTAAGACTGTGTATCTATGTGTCAGGGTGGTTTTTGTGTAAGTGTGCATATCTGTTTGTCAGGGTGTTGGTATGTGTCACTGTGTGTACCTGTATTTCAGGGTGAGTGTAAATTACTGTGTGTTTGTTTCAGTGCGTGCGTGTGTCTGTGTGTATCTGCACTGGGCAAAATTATAAACGCAACACTTTTGTTTTTGCCCCCATTTTTCATGAGCTGAACTCAAAGATCTATGTCTAATCAGCATCTTTACATGCAACACCTGTGAGGTGGATGGATTATCTCGGCAAAGGGGAAGTGCTCACTAACACAGATTTAGACAGATTTGTGAACAATATTTGAGAGAAATAGGTCTTTTGTGTACATAGAAAAAGTCTTAGATCTTTTAGTTCAGCTCATGAAAAATGGGGGCAAAAACAAAAATGTTGTGTTTATAATTAT